CCCTTGATTTATGTCCGACCATTTTGGAGAGGAGTGTTCCGCAAGAGAACTCATACCTTCAAAGCAATTGTTGACAACTCTCATGCGCTGGCTGCCTCCAAAAGCAGGAGAACCCCTTTTTGGAGGGTTTAAGGGAAACCACGCAGATTGTTGGGTGTTAAATTGGGCTCTGAAAAATTGAGAATTTGCCCATCCCCTTTATATAGTGGCCAGTGGCTGTATCTCCCATTAAACGGCAGGGTCTAGAAAATGGTTTGGATGTGGATTTCACTCGTTCTTTTTCTGTAGGTTCTGTTTTAATACTCTTTTAATATTTGCGGGGGTGGTTCTACAGATTCGCCACATCCAAACCGTTCTCTAGACCCGGTTGAATAGGAGATACAGCCACTCGCCACTTGAAGGGGCTCCTGCTTTTTCCGGTTGCTTTCTGCTCCCCTGCTAAAAGCTTAACTTTTCGTGGTTCAACTCGGACCTTAGTTGGCAAAAAGCTATTCAGTCCTAACATCCTTGGCAAAATGCGCCAAAGCTTTTCTGGCGGCTTCGCGTTGGGCGGAAGAACAAATCCAAGTCTTCGCAACCGAATCAACATGACGGTCGTGCTCGTGATGTTTGCAGAATCTGTGGTGGTCGAGGGCACTGGGGAAATGAGTGCCCATCAAGGAAGACCCTGGGATTTTTTGCTCCATCCGTGTTTCGCGTCCCACCTTCGTGCAGGAGGCGATGGAGCTGGCCACGAACTTGTCCGTGTTCTGGCAGTCATCCTGGCGAAGCGTGGCGCGTCGCGCGGACGGATGTTTGGGTCGCGCGCCACCCCGATGGTTGGGTCGGACGACATGGTTTTTTCTTTTTTGGGAACCGCTGGTTTAATTTGGGAAATTGGAGGGAACCGGGGGGGGGGGGGGTCCGCAGTCTTCTCAAATGCCACAAGATGCGATGGTCTCTGCACAAGATGCGATGGAGGGCAGAATCAGACAGCAAGATCTTGGAGCCGCGGGCCCCGTGCTCCATGTTTCCCGCCTTCCGGAATCGTGTCAAACCGAACGGGGCTTGACCCACTTGGTTTTGTCTCATGATCTGTGCGAATGACCCATTCACTCACCCACCGATTTACTCACTTACTCACTCACTTGGCTTCTTGTGGTCGGCAGATCGTTGTGATGTGTCTTGTTTTAGGCCCCCCAAAAAAATCATGGTGTTCCTTTTGGTTCTCCTAGTTCCCCGTCCATGGAAAAGCAAGCGAACACGAGTGTGTTTTTTGTTGGGAACCCACGTTTGGCTGGTTGCAATGGGAAAGAAACCAACAGGAAGCCCTGCTTTGGAGTCCATAGGTGTCCTTTTTGGTTGAAAATAGATGGCGCTGGTAGTTGATTGAACCACCAGGTAAACCAGGAATTTGGCCCTCTATTTTTCAGCCAAATCAACCAATATGGACACCTATGACTCTATGACTCACACATTCCGCCAAGGTTGGCCATGAAAAAAATACGGAGTGACAATGACTCCTGCTCGGCCTGACTCATCCCCCCAGGTACTTAAGGGTCAGGGGGGGATTTCGGGACCCGATTCGAGTTATCTAGTAGTCCCCCTACAAAAAATGCCGAATCTCCAGTAGAGAGGCCAGAATAAGCGTGCCTTTTTTTCTGTAGTTTATTTTAATAGGGGAACTCTCCCGCCCAAAAAAGAAACGGCAACGGGGCACTACTGGGGGACCTAGTCCCCCTGCCAAAAATGATCCAGTCGACATCCCCTGCCGGTGACTCACCTCGCGCGTGACCCGTTCCCCCTTTTTTCCGCCCCGCGGACGAATCGGTTGAGCAATGCGGCGAGTCGAGCCGCAGCTCGCAGCCTGGCAAAAGGCAAAAAGCGAGCTGGAAGATCTCACTTGCCTTCGAGTTGGATATAAAAACACCATGTTTTTGTTTGCCACTGAAATGGTCCAAACCCAAAAAGTTGATAAAGGAAGTGAGTTGTTGTCGGTTTTGGCTAAAGGGGCTGGACTTAGCTTCAGCCTTGATTTTCTGTCTGGCCGTGTTGGTCTTTGGCTTCGATTTTTTTCGCTCGTCTCAAGCCGTTGGCGCCAACTCATTCTTTTGAGCCTTTCGCTTCCCCGCGGAGGCCAGGATTGAACCCTTCCCAGTGCGAACTTCTTGACATGCTCGATGCTCCGAAGCAACAGAAGAGGAGCTGAAGGCCAAAAACCACAAAAGACGACCAACCGTCAAACTGCAAAAAACGGCATCCAGGTGTTGCCTGGCCCCTTTTTCAGGCGACAAACTTCCGCGACAAAGATGGGGTCGGACTCTGGACCCTTGCTTCCTCAAATGAGCCCGGGTCGCAAAGTGACCGCTGAAAGAGATCTTCCCAAGGCCAGCAACAGATGCAGAACGCCCATGCCAAAATCCCCGTGAAAAAGCAGCCAACCGCCCTTTTGGAGGCCACTCGATGTGTCAATTGATCAGTCGCATCAGTCAGCCAGACCACTCCATCAGTTCGAGTGGGTACACTTGCATCCACCTGCAAATTCCATACGAAAACCTGAGTCAGAATCAAAACTTGATGTTAAAATGGTCTACCCAGACTCAGACCCACACCCATTCATGGCTGGGACTATCTTGATCTTCATCTACCCGGGTTTTGAGGATGTGGCTCACCTGAAATTCAGGGATCCCCAAAGAAGAACCTATGCGCAACCTTGGATACAATCAACGCAGTGGCAATGCCATGCAATACCACAAGTGTATACAAACACCTACACATACACAAATCTTCCCACGCCAACGCATGGGTATACCGCATACGCATATACTGTGTGATGCTTATTATAGTACATACGCTCATTGGGTACACATCGTTCCCTCTGCGCAGAACAGATCGAACCGGATTGCTCAAACAGGCGCGGCCCCCTGACGGGGCCCGATGGGCCCAGCACGCCACCAGCTTTGATTGAAAACCTTCTTGACACAATGGATGCCAGTTACCCTCATGGTTGGCTTTTCCAGCCATAGTCCTTTTGATGGTTTCAAAGGGTTGTAAAGGGTGAGGCTGATGCCAGTTGAGCCCTTCTGGTCGGTGTTTCCAGCCATAGTCCTTTTTGATGGCTTCAAAGGGTTTTAAAGGGTGGTTCCCTTACCCACTGTACAGGAAATTGGATCCAGTGTCAAAGCCATGGCCCAAGGTGCCATCGCCCACCTCTCCAGGAGAACGCCGCGCGCCGCCTTTGCCTCGGTGGTTCGGGTTGCTGTTGGTCGGCGGGTTGGTAGGTGGGTGGTGTTAGGCTATCCTCCCCACTGAGAAATCACCAAACAATGGGTTCCGATCCAAACCAACATGCCACAGGAAAGAAGAAACAACACCCCATGAGGGAACTTCTAGATTCTGTAGGCATTACTATAATCCCCCATCAACCCAAACCGAATATGAGCATGAAAGTTGTACCGGATCCAAAAAGAAGTGACATCCTCAAAGTCACCTACATGGTGGTTGAAAGGAAGATCAACGGTCAACATGCTCACTTTAAAGGACCCAAATGACTCACAGACCAGCTGAAGAAATGCAGGCAGCAGTGTGCACAGGCTGAGCTCTCCCGGCAAGTGATGCCCAATGTTCTGTCCTTCGAAGGGTTGATGGTTGAAAGTTCATGCAGTCAAGACCGCATTTCGAGGACAAGCTCACACCCTTTTTGATTCGAGACTGCCTCAAAGTTGGGAGACTCTTCAAGTTGGTTTCCTCTTTTCTTTTTCTCAAACCATAGGGAGAGAAACTCTCCCCTATTTTTGGGTGGATTCATGCTGTTGACTAAGCTGCCTTTTTCTTGCATGGTCCAAGATCAGGGCTGAAATGGAATCCACGTCTGCGATACAGCAGAAAGGGCTTCCCAAAGACTAACCCCCGACATAAAGAGAAAGAGATTCCCAGAAGTATCACAGTGGTTGGGGCTCAACCCCGAGTGATCAACCACAACCCTGTCCAACAGGGATCCTTACATGAAAAAAACCTGAACATTGCAACTTGTAAATGGTGGTCTCCCTTCATTTTGGTGTTGAAAAAGCCACATGTTTCAAATGGTCCGGCAAAATGGACATTTCTTTTAAGGAGCCCTGTCCAAGATCCCCGGAGCCGAGGCGCTTCTCCTCCTCGCCGTGGAAGAAAAACAATCGCGACAATCGCGACGTTTCTCTGACCTCCGGGTGAAGAAGAATTTCTGGGGGGCTTGAAACCCTAGGTGGCCTTTTGGAAGAAAAAAACAACGATGGCCCTGGTAAATGGGCCAGAAATCAACCATCTAAATGGGCCCTCTATGTGTTAAACAACCCAACCAAAAAGGACACCTATGCTTGAAACCCTTGCCGGTCCTTCCGATCAAGCCGCGGACCCCTGGAAATGGGAAAAGGCAGCCCTAGCGGAATTCAAGGGCGCTTCGAGCGCTCTCTGACCAGGTTCCTCCAACACCCAACAGAGTCCAAGGGCCTCTAAGACGGATGTGCGTTTTCTTCCAAAAGAAGCGGGTACGGTGGATGCCCTGAACAAGTTCAAACCGACCAGACTCAACCACACAACCAATATGTACCAAAAAAATATGGCAAGAACAAATGCAGGTGTCCTTGTTCCCTTGCTTGCAGTATATCTACTGCGATCCATCCAAACTGGAGGCTGCCATGAGGCAAGTTGCTCGAACGTCGGAAACGAAAGTGCCGCTTTTGCGCCGCAAAAAATGCCAGGAAGTACCGCTTTGCGCAGCACTGGCACTGCAGTATTTGGCTGCACCAAACTGCAGGGATCCGAGAAAATCTTGAAGAGATCCCTCCAGGCGATTCCATGGTTTCTCCCAGGAGGTCTTTTGGAAGGCTTGGTTCCGAGGGAGACGAACTCCAGATATTTGAATCTTGCTTTGCCAAGCTCTCTGACAGCTAAGCGGAGAATAGCAAAGGGAAAACATATGGGTGCTTTTCGAAATGATGATTATAAATTACAAATTTCATATTTTCTATTGTTGTTTATTAATCACATGCAATAAAGATTTAACAATATTTATGAAAATCGGGAGGTTTCTCATTATGAGAAACCCCAGACACGCCAGGGCGGCCCTTGCGGCACTACCGCCTATTGCTTCGTGAGCGTGTAGGTGCTGCCGCTTTGGATGCAATGCCCCCGCATTCTCGTGCCGTCCTCAAAGTTGACTGCATTGGTCTGGAAAAATCGAAACTACCCATCCTCCCTTTGGTATGCCTTTGGGCAAATGAACACGCGCCTTGCTAGCACCTAGTTCTGGCAATCCAAACCGAGGTTGTTTAGACAGGTGGTGAGAAAAGCCACGGTTGATCTGGATTTAAGTTGAAGTCGATCTGTGCTCCCATCGAATCCCACTGAGAACCGGCAAGGCAAAAAGCTTGCTTTGTCAACCCACGGTGTACATCCCATCGTCTGGTTTGAATCACCATCGACGAACCCTCGTCCTCATCTAGCACGAAGACATGGTCGTTGGCATCCTTAGCCGGACTCCGAACCTCGAGTTAGCTGGTAAGGAAAAATCTAGGAATCTCGGGACCTTTTACGTGCAAAAAGGTAAGTCCGCTCTGGCAATGCGCTTCTATTTACGAAAGAAATACCCTGCAAAAACAACCAACATCCGCAAATTGTGAATGATCCCCAACCCTTAAGGGAGCCCAAAGAGTTCCCCATGACAAAGCATCGTGACAGGTCCTCTTCAAGTTCACCTTCCTCTCTTGCGCGGAGACCAAACGCACCAGGCCATCGGTGATGTCTCCGCTCTGGCAAGTGAAGGTGCCATCCTCTCGTCACAAGGACCCAAAACGCGAAGCTGTTTCATGGCAAGTGGCGAAAAGCTCTGCCAGTTGATGGTTGGGTTGATGGCTTTGGGAAAAGGGAGATGATGTAGTCAAGAGGTTCAACGTTGGCCGTCTCTCCAATAGGCCCTTTTTGGCATGCTCTTGAAAAGGCAGCTTCGGCCTTCCTTCACATTTTGCAAAATGACCTTTTCCCACTCCCCTCTATTCAACAAGCATGGAAGTGGACAGGGCCTGTTCAAAGAAGTAGTATGCCAAAACCCTCCTGTCAGGCCTTTTGACGACCCCGTCCCCCCCTTCCCCCCCCCCCGGGCGTTGTGATGTGGATGGACCAAAAAAATCCTGCACCGGCTGGTATTCGATTTGTCCTAGTCATAGGGTTTCATCCGTCACTGGTGCCTGACATGATTAAGGTCCATGGGAGTTTCTCAAAACGATGCCACCCCAAAAACTTGGTTTACGTTGGAAGGGGAGCAAAAAATAAATTTTAGCCGTTAAGAGGGGATTTCCCTCTAAACCACAATAAGCAAAAATGCAAAATGCTTCCCAACAACATCCATGAAAAAGGGCCCCCTCCAAAACCAGGTCACCCGTCAGGCAGGTGTCAGCGAAATTGTGTGCCAGCTGGAAATTGGCGACAAGCTGGGAAGGTGCTAAAAAGTTGAAAAACTGCTTACTTAGAAACCCGCATCAGGAATTCGAAAAGCGACTGCGCATGCTCTGAAAACTTAGCTGCTGCGAAACTGGAAGCTGAAGGGAGGCAAGATTCGAGCCGAAATGGACACCGGAAGCTGAGACCTGGAGTTGCGAGCGAAAGAGTTGGACACGAGTTTGGAGCCCGGCGGTTTGGAGTTGGAAGCCACCGATTTGGCTCCAATCCACCCTTTTTGAGGGAAGCTGATGTAGGGTTTTTGTATTGTTTAGCGCAACGAAAGGGGAGCAATCTGTGTTTTGTTGGTCCAGCTTATTTGGGTCTGTCCTTTTTGAGGGTACCCCTTTTTATGGCTGGTTTAAAGGGAAACCAAAAGGAGAGTCATCATTTTGGGGGGTTCCCTAAAAAAGAACACCCATGTTTTCCCCCCACCACTGCGTGGGCTTCGTACATGTACCCTCGTCGTCCGCGCCGACTCCTGCCTCCAATCACTCACTCGCTCGCTCGCTCGCTCGCTCGCTCCCTCCCTCCCTCCCTCCCTCACTCACTCACTCTCTCACTCACTCTCTCACTCTCTCACTCTCTCACTCTCTCACTCTCTCATTCTCTCACTCTCTCACACTCTCACACTCTCACACTCTCACTCTCTCACAATCTCACTCTCTCACTCTCTCACTCTCTCACTCTCTCTCTCTCTCTCGCTCTCTCTCGCTCGCTCTCGCTCTCTCTCGCTCTCTCTTGCTCGCTCTCGCTCTCTCTGGCTCGCTCTCGCTCTCTCTCGCTCTCTCTCGCTCTCTCTTGCTCGCTCTCGCTCTCTCTTGCTCGCTCTCGCTCTCTCTTGCTCGCTCTCGCTCTCTCGTTCTCTTGCTTTCTCGCTCTCCCTCTCTCACACTCTCTCACTCTGTCGCTCTCCCTCTCTCTCGCTCTCTCTCTCTCGCTCTCTCTCGCTCTCTCTTGTTCGCTCTCGCTCTCTCTTGCTCGCTCTCGCTCTCTCTTGCTCTCTCTCGCTCTCTCGTTCTCTTGCTTTCTCGCTCTCTCTCTCTCTCTCTCTCACCTCTCTCTCTCTCTCACTTCAAATCCCCAAATTGCCAATCCTTTTTGTTCGGGTTGGTCCCATATTTTTCACACCCTGCTTGAATTTATTGCCTGCTAACGGGTTGGTATTCTCAAAATAAGAACCGAGTTTCTTTCCAACTACGTCCTTTTGATTTCCCTTCAAATTCGAACTAAAAGGCGTCCTGTGGGAAATGGAATCCACCTCTGTGATGCAACAAAAAGGGCCCCGGTTCCCTTGTAATTATCACAGGCTCAACCCCGAGTGATCCCACCACACTGGCTACAAGGAGACCCAAAAAAGCAGCCCACCCCCGGGTCTTCCGAGGGGCAACCCCGACCACCCGACCACCCGACCACCCGACCACCTGACGGAGCCTCCGCTCCTCCGCGATGGTCATGCGCCTCATCCACGCGGAGTAGTCCTCGACAGCGGGCTCCCAACGCCCCGGCAGCGCCCGGCAGAAGCTGCAAGTCACCACCTCCAGCTCAGCGCCTGGCGCAATATATATATATATATATACACACATATATATATATATATATGGTATGCTTGTTATTATTATTATTTTAAAGAGAAAACGTGGGCGTGTTTGTCACATTCATTATTTTTTTTGGGGGGGTTGGACTGTTGCCGAAACTTCCTCTTGAAAAAAGCGCACCAAGATTCACAAGACTTGGCTCAAAAACATGGAGACCAAAATGGCCTTGGCAAATGGAACCAAAGACTAGAACCTGCGGTTTGCCTGAGCTCTTTAATTTTGAGCACTTCCCAACTCAGTGCCCAAGGCCGCCAAACTGCAGACCTGGCAAGGAAATGCCAAGCTAGCCTAGAAACAAAGCCCCCGGGTCACAAAATGTGGGGGGGGGGGGGGGGTTGACTGTGAGCGAACCTTTCTCCCGAAAAAATGAGTGGCTTTCCTTGTGGCGTACCCCTACAGGCTGCAGCTTTCCCGTTGGCAAAGCCCTGCAAAGCCTAAAGCCTGAAAAGGGCAGACACGCACTTGACGGAGGACATCGAAACTGCGAAGGCGCACCCCAAGCAACTGAAAGGTGAAAAGAGGAGTTTCGGCTTGACGTATACCATCTGCCAACAGGATTACTGCATTCCGGGGCATTCGTCAAGGTGGCGTCCGACTCCGAGAAACTAAGCAAAAACCCCAAGAGAACAGGGGGCACACACACACACACACGTTAAAACCACTGTTCTGTGAACAGCCTGCTTTCAGTTTCCGTTTAAAGGGCCGCCGGACTCTGGTTGCCTCAGCCCACGTTGTACCCTGCCTTCCCCCATGCCGAGGTCACCGATCTGTTGGCCCTCGTCCGCCTGCTCCAAGACTCGCTGCTTGAAGAAGACCTGGGTGTCGTAGGTGTGCAAATTGAGGCTTTGGCAGATTCCTTGGAAAAACGGCTCGTAAACCTGGTCAACCTCCGCAAAATATGTTAGTTGTTCCTCTGCCATGTTCAACTTGGCTCATCTCCCCTTGGTTGCTGTAACGACCCCTCTGCACAAAGTGTCAACTTGGGGGTTCAGTGGAAACCAAAACCTTGATTTCAACCAAAAAGTGAAAGTCTAAAGATCCGTTGCCCAATAGTCAAGATTCTCTCCTTCAGCTCCTTGAACAGCGTGCTGGGAACCAGGCCCTCGATGTTTTGGCCTTCCCCAGAGAGCTTGGAGGCAAAGATCGAGAAAGCGGCGTCCATCCCGAGGCTTCCCGAGGCTTCCCGAGGCTTCCCGAGACGGCGTGCGGAAGTCAAAACGGCTCAGGCGGAAGAAAGCTCGGTGCACGCATGTGCAGAAGCATGTGCGTATCACCGTGCAATCCAAGCGCGCATGCATGTGTGTTACACCATGTGAATGTACATGTGCGTGTATATACATGTATATATATATATATTATGTGTGTGTGTGTGTGGGCATGTGAAAACGAGAAAAGCTGCTTCGCACTCTGACGTCCAAGCAGCCAAAGAGATGCGAAACCAAACCTTGTCTGCTATCTTGCTGTGGCTGTTTGGCGTTGGAAAGCTCACATATGCTCCACTTTCCGTGTGGCATTTTGGCTGTTACTCTCCAGTGCTCATTAGCAGCAGCCGCAGCAGCTGCCGCAGAACCAGCAGTAGCAACAGTCGCGGAACTTGCTCAGCATTCCCCTATATATCTCACAATCAGAGGTTGCTGAAATTGTCCGAAAATCCGACGGTCAGACTCGAACCAGCCCTCCCAAATAAAACCCACGGACCCATCCAGGGATGTTTGTCAAATGTGGCGGTGCCTAAAACGCACTTCCTCGGCCTCTTGTTGTCCCTTGGAAACCAAAAAACGATGTTCTCGCCCTTTCGGGACCCCCTGTTTGGTGTCCATCTTAACTTGGATGTGTCTCTTGTTCCGGGCCCCCCCCCCAAAGAAAAGAAGCTGGTTGCTTTCAAACTACACAAAAGGGGCACCAACTCCAAAAAAGACGAGCCGCCCATTTGCCGCGGAGTTTGAGACAACCCCCGGTTGAACATCCCTGGCCTCCGCGTCCAGATCGTCCGTCCGGCCAGACTGCCTGGCCTGCGGCTCGCGAGCTCCGCGCGGGCAGCGTCTTAAAGGAGGAGTGCCCAACCAATGGTTCGTTTCCTCTTGGATTCTGCCAGAAAACAAAATGTCCACAAGGGGTACCCTCAAAAAAACGGACACACTCGCATGTAATTAGCTGATTCATTCAGAGCCAATGAGCAATTGTAAGACACAACATCAGAGAATCGTCATGCTGGATCAAGATTATGACACTCGTGAAAATTATAATATATATATATATATATATAAAGAAGAAAGCAAATTAAGAAAAAAAAGCTTCGTTGAAGGGCCAGGTGAAAAAATGGCCGTCCGGTTCCGAAGCCTTTTAGGCTTTTAGGGTTTAGTGGTAGTTTCCATTTAACCCGCTAAAAGTTAAACTTTTAGCGGGGGATCTGAGGGCAGCACACGCACACGCACTGTTCACCTTGGTGTCCACTTGATTCACCTCCTTGCAAGCTCACAGAAGTCTTGGCAAGGAATGGAGAGGCCATTTTTTCGGCCTAAAAGCCTAAAAGGCTAAGGAACCGGACGGCTGGGGGCCACCAAGTGTATCTCCTCCTTGGACCCTTCTCCGATGAACTGCCGTTGCCTGTACTTCCCACTTGGACGGTTTTCGACACAGAAGTGCCAGGTCCCCTTTTGCCGGGCGGAGTTTCCCGGCGCGAGAATGGCAAAACCGCCCATTCCCCACAGAGCGTTCTGACCCTCGGAGATGGGCAAACACTGAAAATCGGCCAAAAGACAAAAAGACAGATGCGGAAACAAACAAACAAACAAACAAACAAACAAACAAGCAAGCAAGCAAGCAAGCAAGCAAGCAAGCAAACAAAACAAACAAAATAAACAAACAAAGAAACAAAACAAAACAAAACAAAACAACACAAAACACAACAAAACAAACAACACAAACAAAACAAACAAAACAAACAAAACACAACAAAACAAACAACACAAACAAAACAAACAAATCAAACAAAACAAACAACACAAACAAAACAAACAACACAAACAAAACAAACAACACAAACAAAACAAACAACACAAACAAAACAAACAAATCAAACAACACAAACAAAAGAAACAAAGCAAACAACACAAACAAAACAAACAACACAAACAAAACAAACAACACAAACAACACAAACAAAACAAACAACACAAACAAAAGAAACAAAGCAAAACAAAAGAAAACAAAACAAATCAAACAAAACAAACAACACAAACAAAACAAACAACACAAACAAAACAAACAACACAAACAAAACAATCAACACAAACAAAACAAACAACACAAACAAAACAAACAACACAAACAAAACAAACAAAACAAACAAAACAAACAAAACAAACAAAGCAAACAAGGCAAACAACGGAACAACCAAAGAACAGAACGCAGCCCGGACACCTCAGGGGCAGACAAGGCATCCAAAATGTGCAAAAACGAGGAAGTAATAATAATGAAGAAAACAAGAGAGAAGAACAAAACAAACAGACAGAAAAAGAAACACCTGCAGCCAGAAACACTTGAACCAGGCATCCAAAATGTGTGACTTGTTTCTGTGTTGCTTTTCTTGTGTTTTTCTGATTTGTATTTTTCCATCTCTTGTTCTTGTTTTTCCTGGTGCATTTTGTGCTTGTTGTTTTTCTCGTAAAAAAAAATGGCAACTACCAATAATTGCCTCAGAGTCTTTAAAATATTGCACCTTTTCGCTCGATTCACGGCCAGACCGGTGAGCTCGTGAGAATTTGAGGTGTTCGAACTGGGTCCCTGAATGTGAACATTTCGAGGGTTCTCAAAACTACTTCTGGGGAGGGAAACCCCTTGAAACCCGCCATTTCGAGGGAAATTTGAGGATGGCACTATTCTGGACACAGAGATTTGCCCAAATGTTTGGAAGCAACAGGCCTTCTCGTCTTTTACGGCGCCGAGCTTCTCATCCACGGAAACCTCACAGGCAGCACAAATCGGGCTCCCTTGAACCCTCCAAGCACCGCTCTTCATCTCCAAGGACGCTGCCAAGGCAGGCTGGGCCCTCGAAGGGGGTTCAGAGTGCAGTTTTTTTTTTCCTGTTGGACAGGGGGCAGCTGTGAACTCTGCTTGGCGGGCATGCGCAACTCACAGTTTTCATGGGCCTTTGCGCCTTAGCTGTTGCTGGTGCCAATCCGAGATGAGAAAAACATAAATGCTCTTGGCGTTGATTAGACCATCCCTCGGTGTTTTTTTTGTTGGGGGGGGGCAGTTTACTCTAAGATGGTGAGGGTTGGAGGTTGACCCCTCATCAGCCTCCAGGCTCTCTTTTCGGAATCGGCGATTCTCTTGGCTCCAAAAAATCGAGCCATGTGTCCACTATCACAACCCCAATATGGGAGTTGTGCCCATGGCACAGATGTCGTGTTTGTTTGCAATAGACTTTTCAGCCGGTCTAAAATCCAGAGGCGGCGAAGGGTTTGCTCCACTGAAATGGAGTCATTGGCCCTACCCCCAAGGTTGTCACGTCAGGTAGCGGGTGTTTTCGCTGGTGGAAATTCACGTGTCTGTGACAGAAAAAAAAAGAAGTGCTTTTGTCCCCTAACGCTTGTATCCTGACAAGGGCGGGCGGGGGCCGTCTCTTCTTGGCAACCCCTCCCCGTCGTCAGGAATCAAACCTTGTCAAGGCAAAAGAGCCTTGAAGTGGCCCTTGCAAGGACCGAGTGATGATGCTTTGTGGTTTGTTGATCCCATATGTCAGAAACAAGTCCTTCTAGGTTAAAAAGCATCTGAACATCTGAGGCTTCAAAGGAGTCCTGCGAACAGTTGGTCTGCACTGCAACCTTGCAACTTATGCTTCTTGAAATGGCTTTCGGCTTCTCTAAGCCCACCCAAGGCAAACCTCAAAACACGCGCAAGCAAAAAAGCACCCGCCTCCTCTCCTCTGCCCCTCCCAGCTTGGCGATGTCCGCGCTAATGGTTTCCTTCTCCTGACACATGCGGCGGGTTGGTTCCGGCATCCCGGCTTTTACACACAGTCCCAAAAACGAACAGTTGATACGAAGGGCACCGCCGCTAAACGAAGCCTCCAATTGGAGGCACCCATGTTAGGTTTTTTCATCTGCAACGGCTTCTCACCTACCCCACTTGGGGGGTACTCAAACAGAACGCCAAAAGGAAGCCAAACATTTCATCTTGACCCCATATTAATCAACCCCAGTCCAGTAATAAGGGGAGGGTGTTCCGCTCATGATTTCCCACTAAACCCAGGTACACCCCACTATTAATAAACTGGGGTTGCTTAATATGGGGGTCTACACTAGGGAACTCCTACTTGGACTCCTTGAGGATTCCATGAGCATCTCATCAAAATGAGTTAGAGGTCGGCCGTTGGCAACAGCCCATAGATTTCGTGGGGGCAGGTCGGATGACTGTGTCACATTCCACAGAGCTACATATTGCGCAATTCAGGGTTAACAAAAAATATGACAAACATGGGGAGGGAGGTAAAATATGGGTGTGTCTTTTTTGGGGGGGACCTCCTGAATATGTGGTTTTCCTTTTGGCTTCCTTTTAAAATCTGCCAAACAAGGGTGCCCTCAATAAGGACAAACCCATATGTTTTTGTTTTTAATAAGAACAGGGGAAAAAAGGAAGGGACTTCAGCTGGTTCTTCTCCAAAACAGTAGGTTCTCGTTGTTTTTTCCGTGCTTGAACAAGTCGTGGGGGAAGGCCTTGCATCCAAGACTGGGCTGGCGGATCCAGTGCTGACACACCAGTCAGGCACGGCCAACGCCACTAGGATCATTCGCATGTTAGAAGCTTAATTGCAATGTTAACCCCGGATTAATGAGGCAGAAAGTCGCCGACGAATAGGGCGGAAGTCGGTTGGCGGGGGCCGGGGGGGTTGATGTGGGGGTGGATCAGTAATGTTAACCCCGGATTAAGCAGAACCCCTGGTTGATTAATAGGGGGGTGTTCCCTTTTAGTGGGGATTCAGACCACTCTTGGAGGGAAGGAACACCCCCTAATGGGACGGGTTTAATCCTGGGTCAACATTCTCCGGCTTGACTTACTCAGCGCCCAACACCGGTTGCTTCTGGCTTTCCCAGCCTGCAAAGGTTCATATCTGCCCTTACCCAGAAGAAGCCACTAGACCGTGCTCCATTCCTTGCTGCACGATCCTGAGATCCTTTCCCCCAACTTGCGCTTCCCTGACCGGCACAAGCCTTC